GGAGCTTGTTCCACACGGGCACGTTTGGACGAGGGCCGCTTGACATGACTCATGCTCGCTCTTGATGCGGTCGGCGGTGTCCTTGGCCTGGGCGAACAGATCTGCGCGCAACTTCTTGAGGCCTTCATGGAGAGCTTTGCAGCAAGCGTCAATCTCGCGCCTGTCCGGCCCGCTGAGTTCGTAGTCCGATTTCACTGGCCGTGAAGAAGTTTGCGTCCACCACCAGGGTCTGCTCCAAGTTTCCCTCGGGGATGTTTTTGACCGAGAGGACTGCAGGGGCAGGAGGCTGGGCTTGAACGCTCTGAGATAACTTGGCAACCAACTGCTTGTGAATCATCGGCTGCCCCCAGTTCGGCACGTAGTTCCACAACGACCCCCCGCTGCTTGATCATGGTTTTCTGCTGCTCCTCGAGCCTTGTGACTGCTGATTGCAACTTCTTCTCCGAAACACGTAACTTTGACAAGGCTAAATTGACTTGCGTCTGAATCGGGGGCTCAGTGACAAGAGCACGTCGGGCAGCAGCTTCCTTGCGGTACATGGCAGCTGCCTCTTAGTCCCCCCCTTCTCCATGTTGCTGGCAAACTGATCATTCTCGGCTGGTGAGAGCTTGTCAGTACCCTTCTCGAGCTTGGGATTGGCGGAGGCTGCGTTGCCGCCTTCGTCACCAGAAGCTGGAGCCGCCGCGCCTCCAGCTGCTCCTCCTCCTCCTCCTCCTCCGGCGTCTCTAGTGGATGATAGCCACGGCGCCTTGCAGTGTTTGCGCCACCACCACGACATGCGGTTCTTGCGGCAGCCGCATGACTCGCATTCCCACAAGGCTTCAGGAACCCGTGGTTGAGCGTATGCTCCCCCTTGCTGTCGCTGTCCGTTAGGCTGCTGAAATAGAGGGCCAGGAAGCAGTGGCAGCAGAGGTTGGAGACCCCGTGCCCGACGCCAGCGGCCAGCAGCGCCGTTGCCACCAGCAGCCGCCATGGCTGCAGCAGGTGGAGAATGGTAAAAAAATGGCTCGCAATCGCAAGGCCGTTCCGAACAGTTCGTGATTGACTAAGGCCCCTTTAGGCCTCGCAGCGCCTTGAGCCAAAATGGTTACCGAAAGTGGAGGAGGAGGGGGAGGAGGGAGGAGGAGGAGGAGGAGGAGGAGGAGGAGGAGGAGTAGGAGGAGGAGGAGGAGGAGGGAGGAGGAGGAGGAGGAGGAGGAGGAGGAGGAGGAGGAGGAGGAGGAGGAGGAGGAGGACGAGGAGGAGGAGAGAGGAGGAGGAGGAGAGGAGGAGGAGGAGGAGGAGAGGAGGAGGAGGAGGAGGAGGAGGAGGACGAGGACGGGAGGAGGAGAGGAGGAGGAGAGGAGGGGAAGAGGAGGAGAAGGAGGAGGAGGAGGATAATGATGATGATGATGATGATGATGATGATGATGATGATGATGATGATGATGATGATGATGAGGAGGAGGAGGAGGAGGAGGAGGAGGAGGAGGAGGAGGGACGAGGGACGAGGCCTGGCGCAGCCGTCCGTCGGGACGAACAGCTGGAGGAGGAGGAGGAGGAGGAGGAGGAGGAGGAGGAGGAAGAGGAGGTGGAGGGGGAGGAGGGCCCAGGAGCGCGGCGACTGGCACGTTCGCCACCGTCCGACGGTGCCAGGCTCGCAGCCTGGCTCTCTCGGGGTACTCCGCCGACCCGCAAGGGGGGACGCTCAAGAAGCAACTCCTGGGAGGGTTTCGTAAGTACGATCCAGGGCCATTGAGGCCGATTCCTGGACCATTAAACCAGATCTGGCCAGAAACATCCAAGGATCAGACCGCAACGGGATTAAGCCCGATTGAACGGGATTATGCTGAAGTAGACCGTTTTGTGACCACGGATGTACCAGAGCTGAACTAAACCTCCCAGGTGTTGCATCCTAAAGAAGCTGCAGAAACTGCGCGCGCGGCACCCAGGGGAGACAATGAGACTCGGCCTGCTCGAAGAAGAGGGGTGTCGCCCGCAAAAGGCCCCCCCCTCCCACAGCCCCTTCAAGAGGCGCCCCTCGAGAAGCCCCGAAAAAGGCTCCAGGAGGCCCCCGAGCATCCGAGAGGCCTCCTGGCCCACAGCCGGGGGGCGTGGCGTGATGGGCCGACAACCACCAGCGAGCGAGATCCGGCGCCCTCGGAGGCACCAAGAAGTTGCGCGCAGTCGAGGGGGGGGGGGAGGGGGCGGCGACTCTCGCCGGCTTGGCTGCCCTGGCCGACCCGGAACTCTCCGAAGGGATCGCTCGTCTTCCTCCCGAGCTGCTCCTCCGCCGAGGGAACCTGTGGGTCCGAGCTGTGCGCCCGCAGAGACCGGCCCCCCGACGGCCTCGAGGCCTGCTCGCTGCAGTACCTGTCGAGCCGGATCCCCAGGTCGATGATCGACTGCTCCGCCGAGACGGCCCGCTCCGCCTGGTCCGAGGCACCATGCCCGGGTGTTGCAGACTGGGTCCTGGCCCAAGGCGCCTCCAGCTTGTCGAGGCGCCACCTCGGAGCCCCGGGGGCGCTCCTGGCCTCGCGAGGGATGCTCTGGAGGCCATCTGGGCCTCAGCCAGGAATCCTGGGGGCATCCTGGGCCAGGGACCCCTCTGGCCACACCCGGATGCAGCAGCGGAGCACCAAGGCCCTGCCCGTCCATGGCTCGAGCAGGAGCGGCTGCGCGGGCTCCCCGACGGCGCTGCAGCCGCTGCCCGGGAAATCGTGCGCCGTGGAACGGGGCACGCTCATCACGCCAGGGACCTCATCGGCAGGCCACCTGCAGGCACTCCTCGACCGGCCACTCTGGGAACCGGGCGCCGCCCAACGGCGTCCAGCATGGAGAAACAAAACGCGCACCGAACTCGGGAACGGCCAAGAGGGGGGTGTCCAAGAGGGGGGGGTGCAAATCATGACCGGCGGCATGTGCGCGGCCCAGCGGGGGGGCCAGGGACATAATGAAATAAAAAGGGGCGCCATGAAATCTGGGGAAATATCATGGCCCCCGCCATGATATCCACCCCCCCCTAGTCATCACCCCCCCTCTTTTCCGCCCCCGACGAACGCACGAAGCACGTGAGGGACGGATGTAGGATCAACCACTTTGGGGTCCGAACATCGTCGCCGACTTCTCAGGGCGCCAGAGCACCTCGCAGGCAGACCCCGAAGCCCCGCTCGAGCGGCACAGGGCACCAGGGGCGAACGCCCATCTCTTGCCGAGGATTCCAGCAAACAATCACCCGTCCGATCCTCACCCTCCTCTGTCTCCCCCGCAGTGAAACGGAGGAATGAGGCACAACCGACCACAAGCACAACCACGTCCCATTTCTCTGCTGCTCCCGAAGCCACCCTCCTCCTCCATTTTTCGTCCTCCTCCCCATCCTCCGGCTGCGCGCAAATCATGCCTCCAGGCAACCGCGGCCTCTGCTGCGCGGTTTTCGGGGGTGGGGTGGAGGGGGGGGGGGGGAGAACTCCAGGCGCGCACGCCGCGTGCTGGGGGGGCCCGCGCCCGAGGCCACTCGGGCGAAGGGGGTCACTCTGCAGCGCGCGCGGACGAACCCTGCCTGGCAAGCGGCTCTCGCCTCGAGCCGCCGGCACGTGACCTGGGCGGGCGGGCGGGCCGAAGCGCCCGACAAAACTGCGCATCGGCTCGGGGCTCGGGCAGGCGGGGCCCAGGTCGAGGGGGGAGGAAGAAGAGGCAGCTCGGCGGCTGGACATGTATACGTATATGTGTATATTGTTTTTGATCGGCGGCCCGGGTCAATCGGGCTGACTGGGGCACAGAGTCAGATAATTTGCGAACCCAGCCGTCACTGTCGACAGCCGACCGCACATGCACATGCGAGGAACAAAATGAACCACATTAAGCCGAACCAAAACGGCAGCCGACGACGGGCAGCGGGGCGTCGCACAGTGGCGCCAGCACCCGACAGACCGGACGGCGAAGGGCAGGGCGACAGGGGGGTATATGTGTATACACGTATGTATGGAGTTTCTGACCGTCGCCGTACTCATGTATATATGTATCTGTATCTATATACACACAAGGCTGCATTAGCGCTTCGGGCCATGCACCTTGGTCCTTGAAGTTTGGCATGCAGGCGTAATGGCAGGAAAATCAAAGCGACAATTTAGCGACAACTCCTTCTTGCCGTTTCCGGCATTGCCGTTACAATATCATTATTCGTTACCTTTCCTCCACGCTTCTTTTTCCTCATTCTCGCCATACCCTGCGTACTCTCCCCATCCTCCTCAGCTCTTTTTGCGGAGGCTCCTCTTTGGAGAGCCGTGGCCTCACAAACGTTTTTCAGGCTTTCTGGAAGCCTTCTGGAGGCCTCCAAAACATCTTCTGGGGTCTTTGGGGGCTTCCTCGGGCCACCCTGCCTCCAACCGCAATCTCTCTGAACGACTGGGTCAGGATTTGGAATGCTTCGGATGGTGTCTTGGGGCCATCTTGGGCTGTCATGGGGCTCTCGTAGGCCATCTTGGAACCCTGTTGTGCCGTCTTGGGGCTCTCTTGGACTGCCTGGAAGGGAAGGCCTTTCGGATGGTTGTGGGGCGATTTTCGAGCCTCCCAGGCGGCTTCGGACGCCCATAAGACCGCCGTCTTGGAGCGTCGGCAAGCCGAAAAGAGGAGAACCCCATAATTCACCAAGAACAAATAGAAAATCCATGAATTTTGCATTTTGGGGCCATCTTGGGAGTGCTCTTCGAGGCCTCTTGGGACGTTTGGTAGCGATCTGTGGGGGTATGACGGCTCCTTTGGGGTCGTCGTGGAAGTTCTTGGGGCTCTCTGGGGTCGTTTCGGGAGCGCGCCGGAACGCCTGGAGCCTCATGGGGCCGTCTTAGGGCCCTCGTCGGGTTGTCCCGGTTCGTCTGGAGGGTTGTCCGAGAGGACCAAGGTGGGCCAAATTCGTTAGGGGGGCGGCTTTGTACAAATATTTGAATAGGTGTGTGTCTATATATATATATAAATATAGATACATATGTTTTCGCTTCTGTGTGTATGTATATATATATATGTATAGAGAGAGAGGGAGGAACATAAATTGCATTAGCAGAATCTTTCGGACGGCGGCGCGGATTTCTCAGGATTTCTGGGGCTGGCGGCGCTGGATCACCCATCCCTGCGGGCGCGCGGAGCGCGCGATGGGGCGGCGCTGGAAGCGCGCCGCTGGCACACGGGGAGGACCGCCGACCCAAGCAGCCTGCGCGGACCTCTGAGAGCTTGACACGGAGAGCGGGTAAAATGAGCATCGCAGTGGATTGGACTCGTGGATCAGAAGAACAAAAACGGCATGGACAGAAACTTTCGGCGCTCCGTGCGGAGCGCCGAAAATGTATGTTTATGTCGTTGTTCCTGCTTCGATGGATGCAGCGGGAACCTGCCTCGTCAGCTGAGGAACGTGCCGTGGTCGCTGCGCAGCTCGACTCCTGCCCAGTCGGCCGGGTGGCCAACAGCACAGGACGCGGCAGTGACTCCGCAGGGGGGCAGCACGAAAGAGGAGGGCATCGCGATGATGCAAATTTTCACGCAACTGGCTGCACGCCCACGCCCTCGAGGGAACTCAGCACCGACAGCTCGTAGCTGCAACCGCCGCGCCCCTTTGCGAAGGGGCGGACGAGGAACTCGCGGGACTGCACGAGGAAGCTGGCGGACCAGACGTCCGCGTCCCGCCAGCGCAAGGCCTCGCCCTCGCAGCAGCTACCTGACACAGGCCTGGCGCGAAGGCACTCCGCTGCACAGCAAGGCGAAATCGTCACGGCGACACTCAGGCCCTGGTCGCCCCGCGGCGTCTCGTCTCCTAGCCGCTCGGCAGCACGCGGCCCAGCGAGCTGCTCGACGCGCCGCAAGAGGTCCAGCCTGCCCGACCCCGCCAGCGGCACCAGCGCGCTGGACTGCGCGATCAGTTGCGCGAGCGCAACTCCCCCGCGGTGGGCGCGGTCGAACTGCCGAAACAGCGCCTGTGAAGAGTCTCGGCCCAGGCCAGCACCGTCCCCGGCGACCGCGTCCAGCAGGGCGGCCATCTCGTCGGCCTCCAGGCAGCCCGAGCGGTTGGCGTCGAAGCGGTGGAAGAGCCGTCCGAGCGCGTCGTGGAGCGGGTCCTGCCGCGGCCACTCCTGCAGCCGCTCGGGCGACCGCGTGAGCAACACCGACACCGGCACCGCGGCCACCGCCTCCCGGGCAGTGACCCTGTAGGCGGCGCCCACGCTCAGGTCATCCCCCGCGCCCTGCTCCGCCTCGAAGGTGCCGCGCAGCGTGGCGGTGCTGCGTGCGGCGGTGGTGATGGGCTCGACGAGCACTGCACTGTCTGGGCCCCACCAGGAGACGACGACCACGAAACGCCCCATGCCAGGATCGCCTGGGTAGTAGCGCGAGGGCACCACGCGGTACTCCTGCCCGCCTGGCATGGGGTCTGCCTGGAACACCATGGAGACGTCTCGCTTGTTCCAGAAGGCCGTCTTCTGCAGCACCCGCCAGCGGTCTGGGGTGCAGCACTCCTGGTCCGTGGCGACCCGCGATTCGAAATGCTGGGCCAATAACGTGACGCCCACCTGCGGGTACGTCAGCCGGGCGCCAGCTTCGCGCAGCTCACGCCTCGCGTCTGGCTGGATCACGGTGACCGACACCTCCACCGCGCGTGCGGGCAACACTCGAAACATCGGGTTCCGGAAGAATGATCCGAAGTTACTGCAGCCCCCGCATGACGGCGGAGACGTCTCGACCTCGAAGCGCTTCTGCGACCGGGGCCCCCGCTGAGGGACCCCCACCCTGCAAATGTGCAGCCGGTTGAAATGCCGCGCGAAATCTGCCAGCTCCATCCAGAAGGCGCCAGCGCCGCCCTCGCTGTGGCGGAGCTCCTCAGGCAGCAGGCGTGCCCACTCGTCCGAGCCCGAGCTCCAAGAGCCAGTCCACTCGAAGCGACCCCACGTGTTCAGCACCCGCACGAGCTGTGCAGGCGCCTGGTCAGCTGCGATCTCGACCTCGGCAACGTCCACCACAGAGTAGGCGTGATTCGGTGAGAGCCCTCCCCGACGGCGATGCCGCGCAGTGCGCTCGTTGCAAGTGGACACGAGGCCGCAGGCAACGAGGTCCCCCGCCCGAAAGTGCCTCCGCAGCAAGCTCCACAACTCCCCTCGCAGCTGCTCTGGCCGCAGCCGCGACAAGTTCATGTCATCGACTGGCGCCCCTGTGAGGGTCAGCAGCGCCTCCCCGACGCTGCCTCCGCTGAGCGCTTGGTAGCCCCCGTAGGCTTTCGCGAACGCCTTCTCCAAGAAGCACGCGTAAGTCTCCGACCCATCCCCCGGGCGGGCGAACAACAGCTCGCCATGGACGCACGGCAGCAGCGTGTCGATCACGAGCTCCTCCCAGCTCCCGTCCATGAACAGGCGCACGCGGCACGCTCCGCCCGACGGAGCCCCACCTTCGGCCACACGCAAAGGTGACTCCCTCTTGGAGTCCCGAAACGGTGCGGTGACAGACCGTGCGGCGACCTCGGAACCCCAAAAGACCTCGCCGCACGGTCCGTCACCGCACGGATTGGGGACCCCGGAGGCCCCTGTCCTCGGAGAACGACCCGAGTCCCAAAACCGTGCATTGACCCCGAATCCCAACCGACTCACCGCACGGTGTGGTCACCGCCCCGTTTGGGGGCCCCCGATCCCTGCACGGGAGTGACCTTTGGTGCTCGGATTGCTGAGGAGGGCCGCGGGGGGGGGGGCCCAAACCTGGGCGCGCAGGCCAGTGCCTCCTCCTCCTCCTCCTCCTCCTGCTTCTCCTTCTCCTCCTTCCTCCTCCTCCTCCTCTCTCCTTCCTCCTCCTCCCCCCCTCCCTCCCCGCTCACCCTCCATCGTCTCCAATACCGCCACTCCTCCTCCTCCCTCCTCCTCCTCCTCCTCCTCCTCCTCCTCCTCCTCCTCATCTCCCCTCCTCCCCCCCTCCCCCTCCCCCTTCCCCTCCCCCTCCCCCTCCCCCTCCTCCTCTTCCTCTGATACCGCCACTCCCCGGACCTCTCCCGGGGTGCGGTCTGACCAGGATTTCGAGGCGAATCCAGCGGTGACGACGGCGGAGGCCCAGGAGGCTCAAAAAGGGGGCAACGAGGGGAGGGTGGAGGTATGGGTACACCTTTTCCTCCTCTGAGCTCCAGCGGAGGGCCACTCCTGCGCGCAGCCGACCACCTGGGAACAGCGCGCGCAGCAGGCCGCCCCGCTGGGCCAGCAGGGAGATGGCGGATATCAGCCAGCAGTCGTCCAGGCCGCCCTGGACCACGTTGCCCGGGGCCGCGGGCCAGCCCCGTGGCCCGCACCCGCCGGTGAAGAGGGCGGGGGCCCCCAGGGCCTCCTCGGGCCGCCTCCATTCGGCACGACCCTGGCCCTCCTGGGCGAGCCCCGCGCCGAGCGACGAATCGTCGGGCGGGAAGTGGGGGTCCACGAACATCCCGCATCTCGAGCCGCAGTGGCTGCGCACGGCGGCGGCGCCGGACGAGGGCTCGAGGAATGAGGGGCAGCGCGGAGGAGGTCGAGATGGCGTCCTCCCGGAGGGAAGGGAAGCTGGGTCACTCGTGGCGTCAGCCTGGCCGTTCGCCCAGCACCACTCACACCCAATCCCAGCCAAGCCAGGCCGTTGCAACGGGGAGTCCTCTGGTGGCACACCGGCACACAGTAAACAAACTGCTGGACCCACGTGCTGGACAAAAGTGAAAGGATGCTGCGGGGGAGGAAGAGGCGGAGCAGGAGGACGATGACAAGCAGAGGGAGGGGAAGAACTCGCCCCGAATGGGCCCCCCTCCCCGGCGCGCCCCGCGAGCCCAGCGCCGATGAAAGAGATGCGCGCAGAACACCGAACGTTTATGCCCATGTGCGGCGTGGGCATTTTCTTAGCCATCTGCGTGCACAGCCGAGGAGCCCTCCAGGGTCTGACGCCTCCTTGGCACATGCCTTCACCAGCGCTCCCACCGAGGTCGACCTCCTTAGCATCCCCTCCCCAAAATTTCCTTACCTTGAGTAGGGACCGACCGTCCCCGCATTCCTACCTACCACGAAATGTTCTTAGAACCCACAAATGTTTTAAGAACAGCAACGCTGTTCTTAGAACATAACCCCCATGTGATAAAACAAGACAGACTCCGCCAGATATGTTCTAAGAACACTTCGTGGAAGCCACAACAAGTTCTTAGAACATTGTTTGGTAGGGTTGTAGGCGAGCCAGGACGCTTCGCCACTGCTTGATTACCAGTTCTTCTTCTTCGAAGTCGAAGCTGCGCAAAGATCCACGTCGCCGGGCGTCCTGGGAGCATCCGCGCCCGCGCGCCCGCGCGCCTGCCGCCGTGCTCCGGCGCCGCCCCGGCCCGGAGAGACGGGGCGAGCCCGCGGACCCAAGACCGCGAGGCGCGCCTGCATACCTCAAGGGGATCATTTTTGGATTCTTTCGGGGGCGGCAAAGAGGGGGGTGTCCAAGAGGGGGGGTGCAAATCATGACCGGCGGCATGTGCGCGGCCCTGCGGGGGGGCCAGGGACGTAATGAAATAAGAAGAGGCGCCATGAAAGCTGGGGAAATATCATGGCCCCCGCCATGATATCCACCCCCCCCTAGTCATCACCCCCCTCTTTTCCGTCCCCGATTTTTTTTTGTCAGTTCCGTTGTAGGTTTTGTTGCTTGTGTTTCTGGTGTTCTAGCAGATCTTGTTTTCCGCTCGCTTCGCGTTGCTGTTGCCTTAGTGAGGGGGTTTCCTACAGCGACCATTAGCAGGCCATGGCTGTTAACTTCTTGGCCCGCGGAATGAAAACACAAAAAAACAAATTTGACAGACAGAGCGCCTTGAAATTTTCAGAATTCCGCCGAGCACTGATTTTTGCACGGCCTGTTTTGCCATCGGCTGCTTTGCAATATTCAGAATTCCACGGGGCATTGATTTTTGCCAGGCATGTTTTGCCATGGGGCGATGTGTCATCGATTCAAAAACGGGGGCCCCAGGCGATGCTCATTGGCACAACGCCCAAAGGGTTTCCGAACAAAACAGCGACCATGTTGGATTTGGCGGGCGGCGTACGCGAGTGAGAAAGCAGCCGCTTCTCTAGGGCAGCGCGCGCCTTGAGGGGACGCAAGATTCAACGTGCGAGCGCGTCCACCGCGCAAGCGCAAACGCTACGAGCGACGGGAAAAATCGTCCGCTGCACGGCGATGCGCACACCTGTCGCGACATCACTCGAGAGCGTCGCAATCGCATTTATTTCCGTCCAACTTTGAAGGCGGCGCTGCGTAACCAAAGCGCGCGCGGGCGCGCCAAAATCGAAGCAAACGCGCACGCGCACACGCACGCACACGCACGCACGCACGCACGCACGCACGCACGCACGCACGCACACACACACACACACGCACGTGCACGTAGCGAGCCAAGCTTTTGAGTCGCGACGGGCACAAGCTAGACCAGGGCGCGGCTAACATAATTGACGGCAGCGCAAACATCTCTCTCTCTCTCTCTCTCTCTCTATATATATATATATCTATATATATATGTATACAATATCATCTGTAAATGGAAACAAAGAGAACGGATCGCGGTATATTGCCCAGCAGCCAGCCCGGAAACGCACCCGAACGGGCTCCGCGCCCCACGGGTGCCGCAAGGAGAAATGTCGAATGCCGACGCGCACTTCCGCGCCGCGGAAGGGCCCCCATGCCGCTGGAGCTTCCGCCACCGCCCCCCCTTTCCCGTAGTGCAAGGTTTCGTCGTCTCAAACGCGCGGGTCCGCAAGCGATGTTGCTTTCTGGAGCGCCGGACGGCTTCCCCGCAATATCCGCGCGCACGTTGGGCTTGGAGCTTAACGTGCGGGACATGAGAAACGTACTGATTATACAAAGCAGCGCGCGGCCTGGAGAAGCGCGAACTTAACCGCCGCGCAAGCGGGAGGAGCATTGGCCGAAGAACGGCCGTGACCCGGCCTCCGTCGGCCTCCTCAAAGGGCTCCAGAAAAAATCATTTTCAGTTGCGGCACTTATATGTCGACTTCTATATTCTGGAAAATGCAGAATGCTCCCGCGCGCGCAAGCGCCGGTGACCCGGCCTCCGTCGGCCTCCTTAAAGGGCTCCAGAAAAATTCAGATTGAATTTCGGGAATAACATGTCGACTTTTATATTCTGGACAATGCAGAATGATCCCGCGCGCGCAAGCGCCGGTGACCCGGCCTCCGTCGGCCTCCTTAAAGGGCTCCAGAAAAATTCAGATTTAGTTTCGGGAATCACATGTCGACTTCTATATTGTGGACAATGCAAAATTCCCCACGCGCGCGAGGGTGACCCGGCCTCCGTCGGCCTCCTCAGAAGGCTCCAGAAAAAATGCTCAAACGCGGCACTTACATGTCGACTTGTATATTCTGGACAATGCAGAACTATCCCGCGCGCACGAGCGCCGGTGACCCGGCCTCCGTCGGCCTCCTTAAAGGGCTCCAGAAAAATTCAGATTGAATTTCGGGAATAACATGTCGACTTCTATAATCTGGACAATGCAGAATGATCCCGCGCGCGCAAGCGCCGGTGACCCGGCCTCCGTCGGCCTCCTTAAAAAGCTCCAGAAAAATGCAGATTTAGTTTCGGGAGTAACATGTCGATTTTATTTTCTAGACATTACAGAACTCCCCACGCGCGCGCGCGGGTGACCCGGCCTCCGTCGGCTTCCTTAAACGGCTCGTCAACCAGCCAACCTGCCTACCAGCCGGCGCACCAGCCAACCAACACACTGGACTTAACCAACCAACCGGCGCACGCGGAGCCTTACGTGTACATACTTGTAGATAGGCAAGGATTATCGCGCCCCGCGACGCGCGACGCGCGGTGAACTTCACGCCCCTGCGCCGCCGCCCTGGACAAGGGCGGCTCTCCTGCCCGGGCCGCGACGCGCGAGGCGCAATAATCTTCGCGCCCCCAGGGGTGACCAAGTGCATAGGCCTTGGGCGGCCACGTGTTTCAGAAATATGAAAACCCACGGATGCAAAACACAAAATGAGTATGCAGGCGTACAGTGAAGGTCTTGACCTAAGGTGTGACATAAGGAACTAATGCCCCATACCTTGGCACGCGGATACATGTAGGGGCGACGGCTCCAGCGCGCGCCCCGCAAGGAACGGGGGGGCCCGAGATTGGAGCTGGGCCATAACGCAGCCACCGTTCAATTATGTCGAGCCAGTGAGCTCCGAACCGCGTGGCCGAAGGAACGGGGGGGGCTCTTGCGAGGAACTGGACCTCAATGCCCCATACCTTGGCGCGCGGATACATGTAGGGGCGACAGCTCCAGCGCGCGCCCCGCAAGGAGCGGGGGGGCCCGAGATTGGAGCTGGACCATAACGCAGCCACCGTTCAATTATGTCGAGCCAGTGAGCTCCAAACCGCGCGGCCGAAGGAAGGGGGGGGGGCTCTTGCGAGGAACTGGACCTCAATGCCCCATGCCCTGGCGCGCGGAACGGGCGAAAGCTCCGGCGCGCGCCCCGCAAAGAACGGGAAGGCCCCGGAGAGGCGCAGGGCTTATACGCGACCGCCGTCGCATTACGCCGAGCAAGCGCAAGGAACCGAGCCCCCCCGTGGAGCCCCGTTCCGAAGACCGTCCGCCCCGATCGACAAAACGAACCCGCGCGTCCAAAATCGCAATGAACACCGGGGGGGCTCGCCGTCAAAAAGGCAGCGGAACGCATGCAAACCTAAGGAACGTCCGAGCCCCTTTTGAAACGTAAGTGTTCCTTACTCAAGACGCTCACTGCGCGCGCCTCCGTCGGCCTCCAGAAAGCTCCACAGAAAAGTTCAACTCAGTTTTTGAATTTACAAGGCGATCTTCTTATTGTGGGCAATCCAGAACTTCCTACACGCGCCCGCGCCGCGGCGCGCGCGCGTGGCGAGTTCTGTATTGTCCACAATAAGAAGATCGCCCTGTAAATCCAAAAACTGAATTGGACTTTTCTGTGAAGCTGTAAGGAGGCCGAGGGGAGCGCGTAGTTCTGTATGTGGACAATACAGAACTCACCACGCGCGCGCGTAGGGAGTTCTGTATTGTCCACAATGCTATGCAGAACTACGCGCCTCCGTCGGTTTCTTACTACTTCACAGGCAAAAATCAATTCAGTCTTTGGCTGTACAAAACGATCTGCTTATGGGGGGCAATCCAGAACTCACCACGCGCGCGCGCGGGGAAACCAAATGTAAAACTGAGTTCTCTGGCCCCAAGGACTCGCCGTACAATGGGCAAATGCGTTGGAAACCGCAGCGCGCACCGCAAAGTCGCGCGCGCGCGTTGGACAATGAGCGGGGAACCACATTGCGCAGCTCAAGGTCGCGCGCGCGCGCCCTTGCGCAGCGCACTGTGGTTTTCTACGCATGTGTCAACGATGCCAGCATGAAAATCAGCAGGGGCAACCCTAAGTAAAATTTAGTTCTCTGAATCCAGGAGATGGCCACACGATTAGCAAATGCGTGGAAAAACCACAGCGCGCAGCGCAATGTCGCGCGCGCGCGACCTTGCGCTGCGCACGATGGCTTCCCACGCATGCGAACTCGAAGTCCACGTCGGGAACGCATCATGTAAAAAATATTTCTCTGGCCCCAACAGATGGCCATGCAGTT